AGAATTCTTCATACATATCTATCTATCATCTATCTGACAGGCTCCAGCAGACAGAGTGGACAAGACGAAGAGTTGGTGAAAAACCCGGCGGAAAAAAAACAACAACTGGGAGCCGCAAAAACATTGCAACATTTAAAACAAATATAACACTACATATATTGTTTCTGGCCTTAATGCTATATATACAGGATCGTGCAGTCAGCTGTCAATCTCAAGAAAAAAGGACAAATTAATAGCTAATTAAAATATTTAATTTACAACCAGGTAACCAGGTTAATGGGACTTTTGCTCCTGAACCTCAGTGCTCAGTGTCTGCACATCAGGGCTGTAAGACGTCACCTTCATTTTCACACAGGCTTGCAAGCTGTCATCTGTGAGGCGTGATCGGTGCTTGTTTTTAATATAGTTCATGTTGGAGAAGACCTGCTCACATACATATGTGGAAGAGACCACAAGGGCCATCGAGTCCAACCCCCTGCCAAGCAGGAAACACCATCAGAGCACTCCTGACATATGGTTGTCAAGCCTCTGCTTAAAGACCTCCAAATAAGGAGACTCCACCACACTCCTTGGCAGCAATTCACCAAACTTTCACCTGCTTAAGTTTAAAAAGGGGCTTCAAGCAACTAAAAAGGGGCTTCAGGCAACTAACTCCACGTGGAATTCCACGTGACCGCGACTGCATAATCAATGCCACAAAATGCCAAAGAAAATTAACCAGGGCCCCAGTGAACCATAAATCATAATCAGTGCCTGATGTAAATAATAATTAATAATGAGGGCCCAATGTCATCCTCATCATTATAAAAATAATCCCTCTCTTCGTGCCGCCCAGCCTCCCAAGAAAAAAACCCCACTTCAAACGGTCACAAAGCACAAATTCCACGCGACCGCGACTTGCTATGCCCAATAATCAATGCCCCAAAATGCCATAGAAAATTAATCAGGGCCCCAGTGTACCATAAATCATAATCAGTGCCTGATGTAAATAATAATTAATAATGAGGCATTCGTCATTATAAAAATACCGTATTTTTCGCCCCATAGGACGCTCCGTCCCATAGGACGCACCTAGTTTTTTTGGGGGGAAATAAAGGGGAAAAAATTTCCCTTTATTTCCCCCCCAAAAGCAGGTCGGGGAAACTGAACCAGGTCGAGGAACAGCGGGATGGCGGCGCTTCGCCTCCCTGCTGTCCCCCGAGCTTGTGGGGCTGGCCGATGCCTGCGGGGCGGCAGGCTGCTATCCGCAGCGTGGGGAGCCTTGCCGGACCTCCGGCAAGGCTCCCCACGCTGCGGATGTCTGCCTGGCGAGGGGGGCGCTCTTCTTTACGGCGCCCCGCCCGCCGGGCGGCAGGCTGCTATCCGCAGCGTGGGGAGCCTTGCCGGGACCTCCGGCAAGGCTCCCCACGCTGCGGATGTCTGCCTGGCGAGGGGGGCGCTCTTTTTTACGGCGCCCCGCCCGCCGGGCGGCAGGCTGGTCACCTCCACCCCTCGCCTCCGCCCCTCGCCTCCTCCCCTCGCCACCGCCCCGGAGCCGCAGCAAAGGCTTTAAAGAGCCGCATGCGGCTCTGGAGCCGCAGGTTGCCGACCCCCGAGTTGGTGGGTCCAATGATTAAGAGTACACGACCCAAACTTGGATCCCAGAATTCTTCATACATATCTATATCTATCTATCTATCTATCTATCTATCTATCTATCTATCTAATCTATCTATCTATCAATCTATCTATCATCTCCTTGCACCAAAACTTAGCCCTCAGGCTCAGGCAGGTTTGTAGAGGAAGATATGATCTCTCAGGTCACCTGGCCCATGCAGGGCTTTATAGATCACAACCAGCCCTTTGTATGATGCTCAGAAACAGACTGGCAGCCAGGCAAGTTTTAACAAGGGAGCAACAAGTTCCCTGTCACTGGATTCTGGACTGGCAGAAGCTCTAATTTTTGTGTTTTTATGAGAGAAGGAGGAAGTCTTTTCTCTGCCCACTGCCTTCACGCCATGCACGATTTCATGAACCTTTGTGTTGTTGTCTTCCCACCCAGCTGGTAGCAAAACTAACACAAAACAGATTTAAAGGTGTTGCTGGTGAGCCTCTTGAATTCAGCACAGATCCCCCCAACTCCCAGCACCAGGCATCTTTTAATCCGTTCCCAAATGGACTGGAAAGTCATTTTCAAGCAAGAATCTCCAGAAACTGTTAGGAATTCAATGTCCAATTGGAAAACAAGGGAGGTGAAACCAGCTAAAAAGTAAAGACCAAATGATATTTGCAAAAGTTTAACTCTGATTTTTAAAAAAACAAAACAAAACAACCCCAGCCATTATCTTTATTGCTCAAATTTCATTTGCGTCAAAATCTTAAAAGTCTCTGCTGCCTCCCCAGCATATATATATTGACCTGAACCATTAAGGCCACCTCCTGTCTGGGTTTCACCAACTTATCAGAGAACCAGAGGATTTTGGAAATGAATGAGATCATGCCATCCAACAGACCACAACTTCTCTTGAGCTCCTTTCATTTCACTGGAAACAAACTGCAAGTTCCAAAGTCACATGTACAAAATAGTAAATAATATCTGGCACCTGGGGTGATGTGGTGCTGCAGACGCAGTTCCCAATAAGAGATTATGCTTCGCAGATATTGTGTCAGACCCTCTTGGTTTGGCTTCTGCGTGCAGAACGCAAAGGCTGAAAACTGAATTGGCAGCTGCATGATCAATTAGATTTTCTTGTATTATTATTATTATTATTATTATTATTGACCCTCCACATCAGCCTGGTTTAATTTTTAAAAATGAGAAGTCACCATCTTCCACTGGCAGAGCAGAGCTCCGCGGAGCAAGCCGTTGGCCGCCTCTCTCTGTGTCTGCTCCAGTCACAAGGGCGGTAAGAAACGCTCTTAGATAGTTTTGTCCACCCGGGAAAGGAGCCCACAGCCCTAGGAGGACAGCCTTGCAGCTGTACTCATTTGTGGAAAAGGCTTTGGGAGTAAATCCTAAGGGAAAATCTACCCACTGCCTTGCAGGACATCTTCAGGATGTCGCAGGAAACCCCCCCCCCCAATCATTTAGTTCGTACAAACTTCTGACACACACACGACATACACTGCGCTTCAGTTATAAATTCATAGAAAATCAACCATACATCAGATCTGCACTGTTCCACTTTTATTTGACTCCATGAAGGAAGGACTACAAAATGGGGAAGGTTTGATACAGGCCAGCCATAATCCCTTGAGCATACCAGCACATCCACAGGAGCCCTGCCCAGTTGCTATGCCAACCCTGATGGTCCCAGACAGAAGACCATCAAGATCACAAAGAACTTGCATATGGGAGTGGATTCAGCACGGACTGGAACAAAGGACAATGATCAGCTCTTCCCTCTGGGGGCAGGAAACTGCAAACTCCCCTCTGTCACCTGGAAAGTACTCATGGGGAGGGGGAAAGGGGGAGCCAGCCAGGTGACAAGACACTCAGTTTACCTCCACAACTCCTCCCTCAGCCCCTCCTTTTTGTGATGTAGTCTTAGGGGTGTAGTTTGGGGGATTAGTAACTAATAAAAGTTAGGGTCTTCTTTTGTTCTGGGCTTCCATCTTGTTCCACCTGGTGGCAGGTGGGACTCCTGTCGCGACAGTCTTCAATAAAGACCAAGCCTGTTGTGACGTGGGGTTTGTGATTTCAGCTCTCTTGACATAATATGCTGGAGTCAGTTCTCTAGTAACACTTCTTTATTTAAGCAAACAAGACTGAGACTTGAGGAGGGGAAAGCTACATTTATAGGGACAGGGAACTTGCTAGAAAGGATACATTTTGGAGGGAAGAATATCAGGCAATCACAGTCCTGCCTTTTGGAGGAAACCAATAAGACAGAGGATCCAAATACAGCAGCTTAAATGAACCAATAGTAGCTGTACCCTCTGGAACCAAAAGGCAGTTACTTCACCCTATGGCAAATACAGACAATAATAATACAGATATAAAATCCTTTGACTCAATACACAACAAAGCCTACTGGCTGCTGTTTTGCGCTGGTATTCCTGGCTGGTGTCCTTGTTTTTTTGTCCAAGGGAGCCCTCAGATTTCTCCCTTAACAGGGAGAAGAAAAGGCCAAAGAGGAACCCCTACAGAAACCCAGATTGGAGGTTGGACGGCGCCTTGTCTGCCTCCTTCTGGCAACTCCTGCAGCCAAGCTGGCGCCAAACATCTTGCTCTGCTTTCCTTTGGACCCCTCAGTGAGGCCGAGAGGGGGGTCTTGTCATCTGGCCAGCCCAGGACCTCCATAGAAACTGACCTGGCAGCTTGCAGCCTGGAGAGGTCCCTTGAACGCTACTAACACGGCAGAAACATTGCAGGAGGCAGCAGTGGGGAGATTCCAGTCTCTGCAGCCACAGCGGCCCCTGTGCTGCTCCCTCTTCCAGCCACATAGGAAATGACCACATGTTTAGTAAGTTAAAAACAATTTAATCATAGAGTTGGAAGAGACCACAAGGGCCATCGAGTCCAACCCCCTGCCAAGCAGGAATTTAATGACAAAGGTCATGGGTCATAGGTTTGGCCTTCCCCACATCATTGAACACCAACTCCCATCAGCAAAGCTCTGCCATTTTTCTTTTCTTTATTAGATTTATATGCCATCATTCATGCAAAGATCTCAGGGTGGTTCACAAGATAAAAATACAAAATAAAACCACAAATAAGTAATTAAAACAATAGCAACCCTGTCCCTCCAAAGAACACATTTCAAAGGCTTTACAATATTAACCTCCCTGGGGAGAGCATTCCACAAGTGGGGAGCCACTGCGGAAAAGGCCCTGTTCTCATGTCGCCACCCTCTGGACTTCTCATGGAGGAGGCGTGTGAAGAAGGGCCTCAGAAGATGAACACAGAGTCCAGGACGGTTTATATGGGGAGAGGTAGTTCTTGAGATATTGTGGTCCTGAGCACTTTCTGGGTTCTCTCGGTTTCATATTTTTCCAGTCTCCTTATCTGAACCCACCAGCACTATCAGATTGCCGTTTTCGCAAGGTTTTGCCACATGGCCGCCATCTCAGCTGAGATCCATCTATCAGATCTCAGGTCTAGACTGTGGCTTCCTGCAGGTGGTGGAGTCCAGTGGATGGGGGGTGATAAAAGCCGGGGGAAGGAAGGACTGGGCAGCTGAGTGCCAGGCAACCTCAAGCATCGAGATGATGTGGAGACTCCACCAGCCTCTTCTGCTGCTCCTGTCCTTCTCCTTGGCCCAAACAGGTGAGTGCAACCCCCACCCCAACCCCGCTTATGAGCTCATTTCGAGCACCTTTGGGGCCAAGCTGACCTCATTCCGTCTGATGCTTCAGTCATCAAGGCAGCAGCACCAGAGGCAGGTGACAGCAGGGAGGGCAGAAACTCTTGGCTCTTGGAGAAGTCTGACCCAGAGTCCTGCTCTTGGTCTCTGATGAATCCACCCTCTCACTTATCCAGGCTTTATCCCAAGCCCACTGGCTTTACAGCGCTCCCCCCCCCAAAAAAAAGAGTAGACAAATGACCCTTGGTTCACCAGCTAACCAGGATTCCCACCCATCTCCCTGTCGGTCTTCCAGACTTTGTTCCAAGCTCCTGGCTTCACAGGGCATCCAACACAAAAGGGACGGAAAAATGACTAGAGGTGTATCAATGGCTTGTTATGAAGGGTAAATGGAGCCTCCCTCTTCAGGACCAGAATACCTGATGAAACCCAGGCCTGGGGGTGAACAATAGGAGAAGACCGCGGGCTTCTCATGACTTTGAGATGAAGAGTCTGAGCCAGGAGGTGCAGTCAGTGCAGACAATACAGGCAGCTTCCCATGTTTCTATTTATTTCCCCTTCATCCGCTTCCTCACTGGCAACACAGATTGTAATCGACTGTAAGCCCGATGGGACGGTGGCCTTTTGCTGCCCCCCTGACTCTGCATATGTGGGTGACACCCTAGAACTTCCAGGAAGGAGCTGCAGGAGCTGATTTCTGCAATATGATTCTTGCAGATCCATTGCGGAGTCAGATTGTTGGGGGGCACGAAGCCAAGCCCCACTCCAGACCCTACATGGCTGCCTTGAAGGACAGCACAGGCAATTTCACCTGTGGCGGGTTCCTCGTGAGGCCCCAGTGGGTCATGACGGCTGCACACTGCAAAAAACACGGGTAAGTATCACAAATCCCTCCCTGGTTTTTAGGAGGGGTGATGAACATTATAGAATTGTAGAGCTGTAGCCCAACCCCCTGCAATGCAGGAATCTTCTGAAAACATGAGATCGAGAGTCTCATGCTCCACCGACTCAGCCATCCCAGCCCAGCTGAGTCCAGGGTGAAGCTGGAAGGGCCAAGGTGTGGAGTATGGTCTTTTGCCCAGGGGCTGGGAGGGGACTGATGCCTGATGGATGCAACCCTAACTGACGCTTGGTTCCCAGTATTTCTAGAGTCGTCTTGGGTGCCCATGATATCTACGCTTCAGAGGACTCTCAGCAAGAGATCAGAGTTGCAGCTTCCCACCCACATCCAGAATATAATAAGGTCACGTACTCAAACGACATCCTTCTGCTTAAGGTAGCTTGGTCCAAGAAATCTCTCACTCTAACAGCTCCCAGAGGTCAGGGATCCTTAAGGCAGAAGCAGCCAAGTGGTTCCTTCCATCCCATACATGCACCATAATGAGCTAGAAAATGGACAGTTTACTCAGGACAAATTCCTGTCCACAGATACCCTGAAATTTATCTGCTTTTTAGAAGATTGTTCTTAATTGTTTTTAGGATTTTTAATTGTATTGTTTTAGTACTGACAAATTTGCTGCCCCGGGCTCCTCGGGAGAAAGGTGTAGGTTACAAATTGAATTAATTACCATTACATAATGGGGAACCTAACACCCACCAGGAGCGATACCTCAATGCCTTCCTCATGTGCGGCACCAGAAAGATTTTGAGTGTCACATGGCAGGAGAAAGAAAGATGTGCTTTCCCAGGCACACATTCCCAGCATGTTTGCACTCCTCCTTCAGTGACATCTATGCTGGCTTGGTCATGTCCATGTGACATGAAGGCTGGCACCATCAACCCCGCCATGTAGAAATCCCTTGCAGACGGCCGCAGTGCCTGGAGACAGACCATCAGGTGGTGCATCCCTAGCAGTGGCCAGAGGAGGAATGACCGCTGGGAGGAGCGCAGAGAGAAGAAACGCCCTGGCGCATCTGCAGCAGCAGAACTGGACGTCTTCATCTGCCCAGTCTGCAATGAAACATGTCTTTCCTGTATCGGTCTCTACAGTCACAGCAGGGGCTACAACCTCCCAACAAGGCTCACTCCATTGTCTTTTGAGACAGGCAGAGGCCAACAACCTGCTTACTTAATTCGCCCAGCGGCAGGCGCTCTGAGGCTAAGCAGCTTCCAAATTTAGAGAGGACGGTTTCAGAGACTGATTTCATGGAGGGCAGCAGTGAAATCTTCCAGACCTTGTAACCCATTAGCAGCAACAGTGAAGGCTCTTTTGCTCTTGCTGCTTATTAATGTTATTCAACATAGCATTCAAAGATTGCTCCATCAACACAAGGCGTTCTGCTGGCCTGATGGAACAATCTCCCCTCTTTTCTACCCAGGCCTTATTCTCAGGGTTTTTATGGCACCCCCAAAGCTAAATTACAGGTGCGGGGGGGGGGGAGGACAGGGGCCTCCATTGCATTAACAGGACTCGTTGCACTGACTCCTGCTAGGACAACCATTTAGTTTTCTCCAAGCCGTTAATCACTAATATTATTATTAGAGTCATATTCTAGAGGCACAGGGCTTCCTGTCGCAATGCCAAGGTCCTCATCTCCCTCTCCTTTCCCCAGCTGGATTCCGAGGCTGCTCTGAATAAAGACGTGGCTCTCCTGCCCTTGCCAGAATCCAGCAGCGACATCCCCGGTGGGACGCCCTGCAGCGTGGCAGGCTGGGGCAAGATTGAAGACAGCCAATACCCAGAGAAACTCTATGAGGCCACCGTCACCCTCTATGACCGTAAGAAGTGCCAGGAGTTCATGCCAGATATGGATGATGGAATGATCTGCGCAGGTGAAAACAGGCAACCTCAGGATGCCAACGAGGTGAGGATTGGCAGAAACAGCAGGTGATGGGATCAGAAGTGGGGAGCCTGGGCACCTGAGTCAGGCCATTGGGTCCATCCTGCTCAGGCTTTCCCAGATCTATCAGAAACTGGGATGGAAAGGACCCCGAGGGTCATCTAGTCCAACCCCCTGCAGCACAAGAAACTCAACCAGATCCTACATGACAGGTGGCCATCCAGCCTCTGCTTGCATCAAAGTAGGTGCTCTATCCCTGAGCTGTGGTCCCTCCTCTAAATCTAGGATTCTAGCCCTCATGGTTCTGGATAAGGGGCTGACTTAAATAGAAACTGAAATCGCTCAGTATTGTCTACTGACTGGCAGGGTTTTCGACTGGAGTGTTTCCTAGTCATAGCTGGAGATTCTGGGGGTGGCGCATGAGACGGGTGGAGAACCCTGTGCTGGAAGGGGATGATTCTGCAGTCCAGCAAGGTGGACATGTGCAGACACTTAGACTTGGCCTGACCAGCCCAGAGGCTCTGGATCCTGTACGCCAGGCATGGCCAAACTTGGCCCTCCAGATGTTTTGGGACTACAGTTCCCATCATCCCTGACCACTGGCCCTGTTAGCTAGGGATGAAGGGAGTTGTAGTCCCAAAACATCTGGAAGGCCAAGTATGGCCATGTCTGCTGCACGCCAATCCACATATGAGGTTGTCAAAGGCTGCTGTTCAATTCTGTGCTGCAAGGGGGCTCAGAATAACAACAACAAACAACAACAACAACAACAACAACAACAACAACAACAATTATTCCCAGCCACTCTGGGCGGCTTCCATAGAAACCAAAAATACACTAAAATGTCACACATTAAAAACTTCCCTGGACGTGCAGAATGTGGAGGTGTTGCAGCTATTTGGGGTTGTGTCTAAGTCCTGCTCAAAGTAGACCAATTGAAATTAATGTTCATCATGTCTATTGACTTCTATTGGAGCAGCAACTCTAGGTCTGGTTCACATTTTAAACGTAAACTGAGCTTTATTTGCCCTTCCCAAACTCAAAACAGAACTGAAATTGAGCTACCCTTTGAAGCTTATTTGATAGTGGCCCAAAGAACACTTACAAAGAATGGTGCACATTAAGCAGAAACCACCCCTGGGAATGCATATACTTGTAAAATTAATGTACAAAAATGCATTACATTATAGGGAAATTGTCTACAAAAAAAATTATCTTAAGAGAAACATGCAGAAGAATCTCCACTTAGCTCCCTGGGCAACCTTGGTGGCTTGTCCCTAACTCAGCCTGGCCTCCCTCACAAGGGTGAGGGGTTTGTTTGTTTTTTGGATAACAGGGAGAGGAAAGGAGGAGGCCACCTTGAGCTCCTTGGAGAAGGCGGCCAATAGATGCAATCAATATTTATTTTGGGTAGACTCAAAGAGACTGCAAAGTGATCCAGGAAAAGCGGCAAATCACATTTTATACTGGAATAATTAGAAAGCAAAGTTGACAGATCCCGATCTTCCCTCAGCCAGGAAGCCTGCTAGGTCTCTGTCCTGGTTCAAGACCCAGACAGGGTGGATCCCGATCTTCCCTCAGCTGTGATCTCTGCTCTCTCTCTCTCCCTTCTGCAGGGGGATTCAGGTGGCCCCTTGGTGTGTGACGGCGTGGCACAAGGAATTGTCTCCTTTGGCGGCTCTTTCTCTCCTCCAGGAATTTACACTCGTGTCACCCACTACCTTTCCTGGATCAAGGAAGTCCTGGAATTGTGAAGAGAAGAAGCAGCAGCAGTGGCATCATTGCTTCTTCTTTTTCAAACGCTTTTGCTTCCTGTCTTGCCTGCTAGGCTTGCATTCTGCAAAGAGACCCTTCAAGGGCTGCAAAGGAATATGATACATCTACCAGATGTTTAGTACAGGATTGTGTTTTCACAAGTGCCTGCAGTGGCTCCCACCCACTTCAAGAAAATCCCTCAGCCTCCTCCCATATTCTTCCCACCCTTATTTCCCATCATACCTCTTCCGGTGACCTCTGCTGTTCCACTTCTCCCATCCTCAGGTGCCCAGAGGACTTTCCTCTCCCTTAAAACTATTCTGCCCCTTCTCCCTCCCTAATCTGGAAAAATGGGCCTTGTGATTCTGCTCCCTTCTCCCTCCAGCAATTTCCTGTAAGTGGCAATCTTCATATCAAGAGCCATCTTTGCATTCAGCAGGTCTTGGTACTTGGGCAGATGGGGAGCCATTTCTCCCTCTCAGAGCTCCATAGATCTCCAGTTCCCTCAAGTGCCTTGTCCCATTCTCCCTTGCTTCCCCTTGTGCACGGATGGGGACCTGTGGCCCACATAAGGCTGTTGATCTGGAACTCGCATCATCCCTGGCTTTTGGTCATGTTGGCTAGGGCTGATGGGAGGTGGAGTCCAGCAACATCTGGATGGCCAAAAGGTTGCCTATGCCTCACCTTAGATGATTCCACTCCCTCCCTCCCTACATTCTCTTGCTTAAGCCTGGAGATCTGACCCAGACCCCCATAAATCTGCCATTTGAGCCTTGCACTCCAGGACAGGTTCATGTTAAGCCACTCAAGGTTGTGAACTGTGGGACTTTGTTGTCTCATTCAGCTGAGGTGGTGGGGTGTGTCATTTTATTTCAGCCCTAGAAGATTTCCTTGATGCCCCCAAAAGACCTTCCTCACCTCTAGGATTCCTAGACACTTTTACAAAAGACCTTGGCACCCACAACATCTTAAAATGGGGGTTCACAGTTACCATTTCACACACCAAGCCACTTAAGGGTACATGTGATGTATTGTAGAAATTTAGTTCAGCTAAGCTGTAGCTGTAAACTTCTCTGAATTTTGCCGCATAGGTCTCCAGCCAAGTAATTGTGCACAAGTGACGTGTGTCTGTTAATGCATGTAATACTGAAAACAAACATACCAAACTGCATTATTTTAGGGGAAATTGCTTTGCCAATATGTGCATATTTTGCAAAATCGCATGTGGAATATATCATGAGCAACTTGAATTAAAATGCTGAACATTTGCCATGTCACATATTACTGCTTTATACTGTATGTGTTGCCTAGATGGGGCCTCAATCTGGATCCAGATCTGGATCACCTTCTTAGAGGTGATAGGACCCACTTAAACTCTCTGTAGGGAATGGGGGAAATTCAGTTTGCTAACCCCACCTACTTCAAGCTTCCCAGAACAAACAAGAATTAACAAAATTGCCCATCTCTACTGAGAATCTGCTGGCACCCAAACATGAGTTAGAAGGTACCCCCCCCCGAGTCATCTAGTAGTCCAACCCCCTGCAATGCAGGAATCTCAACTAAATCATCCATGACAGATGGCCCTCCAAGCTCTGCTTAGAAACCTCCAACGAAGGAGAGTCCACCACCTCTTATAGAATCATAGAATCATAGAGTTGGAAGAGACCACAAGGGCCATCGAGTCCAACCCCCTGCCAAGCAGGAAACACCATCAGAGCACTCCTGACATATGGTTGTCAAGCCTCTGCTTAAAGACCTCCAAAGAGACTCTTGTGGGAGTCTGTAAAACACACAAATATCTATCTATCTATCTATCTATCATCTATCTATCTATCTATCTATCTATCTATCTATCTATCTATCATCTATCTATCTGTCTGAAGGCAACAGAGATATTTTCATGAGTTACTTGTCAAAATAGAGCAAGAAAGATAATGAGAACTTGCAGATAAATGTTTGCAAGTATCAAGTGCCCCAATCAGTACATTTCCACTGGTACAGCTGTCATTTTCTGAGCAGATTTCAAGCCCATTAACTGCTGTGTGAAAGCCACTTTGGGTCTTTCTCTTCTGTGTGGCAAGAGATTAACAGTTGGGGGTGTTTTAGGGGAAAGGGACCTGTGCCAAATTGATGCAGCCTTACAGTTAGGGCTTGACAGGACTCTGGAGGACTCGCTAACAAGGTTCAACTGGCCCCATCAACTGCTTTGAGGGGTCGATTTTGTTGCTAGTTGCTTGGAAATGCAACAGTTAATTCTATGTACAGTATAATATGTATAATATAATATATATATTATATAATGTCTAAAAGGCTGTCACATGGAAGATTTCATTTCACTTTTAATTTGTATACCGCAATTCTATATTACTTTTTATACACAAGGTGGTTTACCTGCTGGAGAAACAACAAAATAGACCGCAAAGATCACACATCTAATTGCAATCTAATCCAATACAAAAAAGTCACAATAACTTTAAAAAGAAACAAGACATCAAATAAAGAAATATTAAACAATCCATTAAAATATAATGGTAAACAGTTAAATTAAATATCAGCTGGACGATGGTAATAAAAGCTATGGGGCCAAGGGCCGGACACTGAAACACCAGGCATCTACTTCCTTGCCAAGTGGGACTTCAAGATGTGGAGATTCCAGCTGACTCCTCCTCCCCCCAGAAGCCCCAACGGCCAGGCTTGCGATCAGATAGCAGGATGTCAAGAAGCTTAACTGGCCGGTCACATCATCATAGATCACCCACTAAAACGGCAATCTGATTGTGAGATGATGGATTGTGGCAGGACCACAACAGCCAAACTGTGAGAACAGCCCAAAATTTGATCTTCTATAGTGTCTATAGTGGAGATTATATAACTGACCCCTTGCCCCAGGTAGCCACAACAGCTGGGCTTGCAATCAAAATGAAAAGTGAGATGTCAGAAAGCTTAACTGGCTGTCTCACCATAGATCACCCGTTAGAACAGCCGTCTGATAGAGAGATGGTGAGTGATTGGAAGAATGTGCCAAACTGGGGGAATGGCCAAATGTTATGGGGGGGGCTGCTTTGAACTTAGGGATGGGCCATTCTGTCCATTTCCATAACCCAAGACATGGTCTTGAAGTTATGGTGCCTTCTTACAGTTCATATGTTCATTTCAGAGAGGCTAATAGAAGCACAAGACTGATGCTCAAGCATTTGCTTTATTTTGCAATGCAAGAGGGTCAGAATGTGACAGGTCAAGGCACTCAATCCGCTCTCCCCCCCCCCCCCGCTCCCATTTCCAAATTCTGCTTCTCTTGTGTTCAGGGTACACCTCTCGATCCAAGGATCATGCACTGAACAAACACTCTCAGATCGAAACCACACAGGGCCATTGACTGGGATCTCAAACATTATAGGGCACTTAAACAGCCATGCCCAGCAATAATTTGGAGAACTGTAGTTTGTTAAGGGGGCTGAGAGTTGTTAAGAGATCCACATTTCACCCCATAGAACTACACTTCCCAGAATTCCCTGGGGAGATGGCACGAAAATGCAGTTGTGAATTCAAGTCCCTTTGGATCCAGTTGTTCCAACAGGAGTGGGAGGAGGGCGTGTTGCAGCATTGGGGGGGGGGCAGGTGGAATTTCAGAATGAAAGCCATACAGGTTATATAGCAAGCAGAGGGTTTCTTGTCGAGCCAGGCTGCAGTTGGTGGTTGCTTCTTCTCTTCAGGGTTCCATGGTTTTCTTGATCCAGGGAAGGAAGTGGGCGATGCGAGAGTAGACTCCAGGAGGAAAGTGGTTGCCGAAGGAGACGATTCCGTGCGCCACGCCGTTGCAGACCATGGGGCCTCCGGAATCGCCCTGCGGAGAGAAGAGCCCCCAGCATCCGTCAGCAACTGCGACCGAGTGAGGAAGGAAGCTGCCTTAGAATGAGACTTGGGTGAGAATCAGATCGTTGGCCCATCTAGCTCAGTGCTGTCGACACGGATTGGCAGTGGCTCTCCCAGGTTTCAGGAAGACCCAGCCTCCAATTGTCAGCCATACAAGGGCACTGCAAGCCCAGTGAGACACAGCCTCAACCGGCAAGTAGTTGAGGGGCAGCACCCCAAATATGAACGCAAGCAAAGGGGCCGTCATGTGAGGGGGCTGCCTTTAAGCCTGGGGCACAGCGCCTTCCATCTCTTTCTTCTTCCTTCGTCCTCAGCTGCTAGAGCAGTAGGTCTTGCAGACATGTAGTTTTGTCCTTCTCTCCTGGTTCTCTGGCAAACACAACCTTCACATTCCAAACCATCGCCTGCTCAGCCTCTCTCACACACATTTCAACTTTAAATGTTATTATATCTTTAATTTTTATGACAGCAGGAAGTGATATGAGAGAAAGGGAAAGAGAGCTTTTTGTCCGTATATGTGAGGAAGTGTAGCAGGGTGTGTGTGTGTGTGTGTGAGAGAGAGAGAGAGAGAGTGAGAGAGAGAGAAAGGGGAGGAGAGAGTTTTGCTTCACTAGTGCCCTCAGACATGGATTTGACAGCTTGTGACTTGGCTTGCTTTCTTGAGCTGCCTCCCCCTTCCCAGGGGTTGGAGACACCCACACGCTTCACAAAGGGGCATAGCTCAATGGCAGAGGATCTGCAGGAGGACCCAGGTTTGATCCTCAGGTGGGATGGGGAATGCGCCACTCCGGAAACCTCAGAGAGCCCCCGCCAGCCTGTCAATAATACAGAGCAAATGGGCCGATGCTTTGAACCAGAAATCTCTCTGAGCAATGGCCACGGGGGCTGGTGGAAGTTTGGGTCCAGCAACACCTGGAGGGCCCCCGATTTCTCTGCTGCTGACCCCAGTCACCAGTCCTGCCTGCTGACCCTCACCTGGCTTGTATCCCGGAGCTGGTTGTAGCTGCCAGCGCAGATCATGCTGTCGTCCAGCTCTGGGTAGAACTTCATGCACTTCCTGCGACTGTAGGTGGTGATGTTGGTCTCAAAGAGCTTCTCCATGTCTTGGTTGTCATCAATCAGGCCCCACCCTGCCAGGCTGCAGGGGGTCCCATCGGGGAGGTCGCTGCTAGATGTGGGCAGGGGAATCATCTGGACGTTTTTGTTCAGAGTAGCCTTGTGGACCAGCTGCAGGAAGGTGAAGGAGAAGAGTCAAGCAATCTCCCTTGCAAAACAAAGTCTTCCCTGGAACACACACCCCGTCCCTGTAGCTCAGCAGGTGCAGCACCTGCTCTGCATGCAGAAAGTCCCAGGTTCAACCCCCAGCCTCTCCAGGTCGGCTGTGGAGAGACCCTTCTACGAAACAGAAACTCTGAAGAGCTGCTGTCAGTCAGTGCCAACAACACTGATCTAGGTGGACCTTCATTCCGGGAACCTTGAGGCCTGGGAACTTCCATTATTGCTTCAAAGCTTTTTACTGACAAATCAAGTGTTTCGTTATTTTTAGAGCAAGGGCCATAGCTCATAGGTCCCTCTTTCAAGGTGAGCATTTCCAGGCAGGACAGAGAATTTCCTCCGTCTGAAGTCCTGGCATTCCTCTGCCAGTCAGTGTAGACAACACCGAGCCAGATGGACCAAAGGAACTGTTGGAGTTGGAAGGGGTTTCCAAGGTCCTCTAGTCCAACCCTCTCCTCCCGGGGATCTGGGATGGAACTCATGCCTTTGAAATGTGGGTTGCTTTGATGGAGGCACAGCAGCTGTGGCAGGAGGAGAGTATAGGTCTCTGATTAAAAGCAAGCGGGTTGCTGGTCCTCGTGAGAATGGAAATGCAGAAGAATGAAGGTGTGTGAGCCATAGCTCTTAGTGCTAAGTGCCAAGGTAAATCTGCAGACACACAAAATATCACCACCCTGTTTGCCAGTAACAATAACAATAATAGTAGTACCTTGCCCACCTGACCGGGCGGATTCCAACAGATATAAAAGCTTAATAAAACATCAAACATTAAAAACTTCCCTATTCAGGACTGCCTTTGGATGTGTAGTTATTTATCTCCTTGACATGTGATGGAAGGAACAAACTGGGGGTGACATTTTGTCAAGGGAGAGGTGGGGCAAGGGGACAGAGAATAAAGTTCTCTAGAGCTTCTGGGCCATAGTTTTCTTTGAAGGGGGCAGCAACTAATTTTATTCTTCCTTTGGAAGTCACATCAAGCTGCAATCATTGTTAGGTTGTGGGCGAACATATCAGACGACACAGTGATTCTTCAAACAGCTCTTCTTTATTCTGAGGCCAGAACTGAACTGAGCTGAAGGGCTCAGTCAGCCTGCTTATATAGAGCTCCAGTACCTTGTTACTGTAACAACTTTCTAAAACTATCCAATCACTGAACGTCACTTTCAATCCTTCATTTGCATACAAACTATCCAATCACTGAACGTCACTTTCGATCCTTCATTTGCATAACTATCTACAGTATCCCCCTGCTGGCCCAGGGTGAGAACTTCATAACAATCATGGCAGAGCCTCAGGACTTTGCTGGGGTCTGGGTTGCCAGGTCAGTAGCATTTCAGACCTTGAGATTTCAGGGCCCAAACCTGAGAAGTCAGGGCAGGCCCCAATGACATCATCTGGCAGGTGCACAGAGTTGTGTCCAACATTGCGGGGGGGGGGAGCACCACATGCTCATGACGTCACACTCATGACGCTCTCCCAACCCTGCCAGAGCCACTCAGCCCACTATCCACCAGGTGTGTTTTCTGGGGGGGGGGGTTGACCAGGTCCGTCCCTGCCCCCCCCCCGCTCCCATCAGAGCCTGGCTTCAGTGTGTGAGTGGAGAGTCAGCGGCAGAGAGCTGCTGCCCCTCCCCTCAACTGGGCTGCCCCATGTTCAGAGAGGGGCTGCTGGCCATGGCTGCTCCATCCCCGGGGCAAGCCTGACCCAAAGGGCAAAGAGAGGCTGCAGAGAATAAGGCGCCCCTGTCATATAGGAAGCCCCTGAGATGGAAGTTAATTGGGAGAGGCAAGAAGAGGAGGGCAGACCCCACCCCAAAGGTATGGGCTATCATTTGCAGCCAGCTCTTGCTGGGCTGAAGCTTGAAAGTGACATGCAGGGTCTTCTAAATATGTCTATGTATATTTTTGTTAAAGGCACTTTTGCCCACCTGGAGATTCAACCTTCCACCTGCCGCCTGGAGGGGGTCAGGGAATCCTGGAGACTTCTGCTCAGACCCCAAAGTGTGAGAAGGCGGTCCTATACCTGGGTTTTGCTTTGTTTACAGGGCACTTTCCCACCTTCAATTTGCCTCTCACACACAGAAATGGCCATAAGGAATTTTTATGGAAACGTTTGTCATCTTTGCGGGCCTTGGCAGGGATAGTATCATTTCTCTTTGACTGCTTTTTGAAGGGGCAGAATGGTGGGGAGCCCAAGGGCCTCGTTCCACCCCTGAGAAACCTTCCAAGGGCCACATGTGAGTGGTGGGCGGGGCAGAGGCAAAAGAGGGAGGAGCACCAAAAGGAAGTTTAATTTTCAGAAGTAAGCTGGCTTGGATAGACTTCACTTCACCCTTCATCCAGGCAAGCTAGAAACATTAGCAGAATTCAAGATAATAATAAAAAAACTCAGGCTGTAGAGAAGGGCTGGCAGTAGCTTTTGGCCTGGGGAGAATGCCATGGGCCAGGCAAAGAGACCTGGGGGCCACATTTGACTACCATTCCTGATGTTCCCCACCCCCTGATATAGACCTCCATTGTTGGTGTAATCTGTAACATTCTGGTTTAATCTTTTTTTGGGGGGAGGGGGAGAAACGTCCCTGTATTAATGCACCTTCCTAGTTTTGAAGTTGAAACTCCTTAATGAGGTTCCAGTTTAGTCGCCTGCTCCATGTCGCTAGTCCCTGGTGAGGGTCAGTTTCCCCATGAGGTACAGTAACGCAGATGTGTCAGGTGGCAAGATTTGAGAATCAGATTTTATGATACTTTGGGCAGATGGGGACTGGGGCTCATTCATCTTCCTTCTTCCTCGTGATCCCTGCCTTCTGAGGTGCTGAGAAAGAGGGGGCTTAGAGCAACTCACCTTGAGCAGAAGGATGTCGTTTGAGTTCGTATCGTCATTATATTCCGGGTGCATGTGGTATGACTCAACGCCAATCACCTGTTGAGTGTCCTCAATGGCGGAACGATCGTGCGCCCCCAAGACGACCGTCATGTCTCTGGAATCCAAGAGCATCAGAGAACCTGGAATTAATCCTTAGCTATTGTTCTCTCTTGTCCAAAGGGTGGGGAACCGGCCAATTTTGATTTTCCTCAGTTTCTCATCTTTCCAATCTTAAATTCAGTTCTTCACATTTCCACATCGGTTTGCAGTATTTATGTTGCTTTAAAAAAAGCCCTTGTCAAAATTCATCAGCATTTTAGGGTGAATGTGTCCTAATATGCACATTTTTATATGCAATTCTGCCATTTCCCCATATATAATATGCTTATATAGGTTATTTTCACTGAGATATGTATTTGTTTCACTAAGCCTTCCTCCACCTGTTCTTTGGATCTCCTGCATGTCAGAAAGGCGCCTTCTCGATTCTCTTTTCTGCCTAAAGATTTCACTGCCTAAAGATGTTCCTCCTGCATCAAGTCTCGTGGGGAACAATTTGCAAATGTAATGAAAGGCACCGCAATAATGCCACTGCTACACATCAGGGAGGGTTTTCAGATACTTACTCCATGCAATGCGCAGCTGTCATTACCCACTGGGGGGCCACAAGGAACCCGCCACACCCAAAGCCCAATTCAGATTTGAGTGTTGCCATGTAGGGTCGGGAATGAGGCACAGCTTCATGTCCTCCGATGATGCGACTCCGCAGTAGAGCTGCAAGAATCGTAAGAGGAGATCAGCGGCTTCCCACTGTCCCCTTATTAGCTTATGGGTACCATCCATCTTTGCAAAGCAGAAAAATGACAGCACCCCAGTCAGCTTACAGTCGGCTTTGCCAGGGAGTTAATGAAGGGAAGGGAGCCAGGGGAATGGAAATGGGATGTCTGCGCATGCAGTTACAGATATTGTTTACCCCAATCTCTGAGCATCAAGTGACTCCAGGGATCCCTTCGCTTAACCCAGCGTTCGGTTTCCTTGAAATGAACATCAGCAGAACCAACCCATAAATCTTGCTTTCTCATTAGGGTTCCAGGGAAGCCCGAATTCTGGCACAGAGCAATGCAAACCTCTTTCTCTCCAGCTTCCAGCATCAGCCAAAAATAGTGTAATAATCAGCCTCAAACATGCTTAAGCCTAGTGAATGTATGAAGGGGTGGATACCATAGAGCAAGCTGTCCTGTCAGGCTTAACGAAGGGCACTTCCCCTCACCACTGGAGCAACTAGGTAATCAAGCCTTAGTTCCCTCCCCAGTAGTGTGTGAAAAGGTTAAGCTGGTTGCTCTCACAAGCCACTCTCAAGATCCAATACCAATCATTCAGGAACTTTCACCACTTTGGAACTAAACTAAGTGCTACTGTCCATGCAGCCTTTCTGATGTATGGACATGCACATGAATCTGACCTTTGGAGAGTTTGTAAGTAAAACATTTTTAACTTGCTACATGTGTGGTTCTTTTCTTATGCCAAGAGGGAGGTTTTGGAACTCATCAGGGCAAATTTTAAAGCTCTGACATCCTATATTTCTATGCTATACTTTGCTGTGTAACTTGCCATTTTAAATCTCTGGCGCTTTCTCACCAGAGTACTTGCCTCAAACATGGATCTTGGCATCCTGGAGTTCTCTCTTCTATATTTTGTACATATTTTCCCTTGAACCGACAACAAAACTTACGCATGTGCACAGCACACCTCAACCTGTTGTTCTTCCCCACCCCCAACCAGACGAGGAGGGGAAAGGCCCACCCTGGACTTGTAAATCGCAGTGCTTAACTGGCCAGCCAAAGCCACGACTATAACAAAGGAACGAGTTTCCTCTTACTGGTTTTACCTCAAGTACACAGGATCATGAGTTTAGAATGAATCCAAAGTACGATTCAGACTTAACACACGCCCCCCCCCCATAAACCTACAACGTTTAAGCTTCACTCTGGAAAATGAAGAATAGTCAGAGCTGGAAGGGGTCTCCAAGGTCCTATAGCCCAACCCGCTTCTCCCTGCAGGATCCATGAAGCAGGGCTTTGCCATTGTAGCATTATGAGCCCTGCCTTGCTTACAAACCGCCTGCAAAGGGCAGCCTGAGCATCAGGAATGGAAGGAATGAGAGTGGCTTGGGCCAGAGGAATAGGAGAACTCAGTTCAGCAGAGGTGGGGTGTGTCTTTGAACTCACCTGGTTTGACCAGAGAGGAGGACAGGAGGAGAAGGAGGAGGAAGAGGTGGGGAGGCTGTTGGAATCTCCACATCTTGGAAGGAAGGAGATGCCTGGTGTTTCAGTGTCCAGCCCTTGGCCCCATAGCTTTTATTACCACCGTCGTCGCCCCCCCCCCAGAAGCCCCAACGGCCAGGCTTGCGATCTGATAGCAGGATGTCAGAAAGCTTAACTGGCCGGTCACATCATCATAGACCACCCACTAAAACAGCAATCTGATAGTGAGATGATGGAAGTGGATTGATTGTGGCAGGACCCCAACAGCCAAACTGTGAGAACAGCCCAAAATTTGATCTTCTATTGTGTCTATAGTGGAGATTATAGAACTGACCCCTCGCCCCCCCCCCCCAGGTAGCCCCCTGCAGAGAGAAGAGCCCACAGCATCCATCAACAACTGTGATCTAGTGAGGCAGAAGGATGTCAGAAAGCTTAACTGGCCAGTCACACCATAGATCACCCGCTAAAACAGCAATCAGATAGAGAGTGGTGAGTGTACCAAATTGTGAACCATCCCATGAACATTTCCACACCAGTTTGCAAATTACTTTTTTTAAAAGATCCATGTGAAAAAATCTCCATCATTTTAAAGCAAATTTCTTGCATTTTTATATGCTGTTTCTGCTAATATACAGGCAGCTAGGAGTAGTTGGGTTGGGGTTTTTTTTAGATTTTGCAATAAAATAGCTCAACAACTTTTGTGTCCGGATTCTCACTTTTTGAAATATGGCAACCTATATTAATTACATAAATCATGTCACAACTGGATGACAGCCAGTGAGGGCAACCCACAAAAACAGTGTCTTTCTCTCTTTTCTGTACCACATTTGAGGTGCAAATCCTGCAAGTCATTAGGAAGAGAGCAAGAAGACTTTTCAAAGCCACCATCATGCAGTTCCAGTTTCTACTCTCATGATCCCTTGACTCTTGGAACATGTAGAATCGTCAGATTTGTGACGGAAGTTGGAGGTTACTAGTAGCCCCCTAGTTCTCCCTAATGTGGTAGGGAGAAATGACTGAACAGGGTGGTTCAGGCACCTGCAGGCTCGGGCAGCATGGGGCTTGTGTCCACCACCACCCCGGCCGCCCTACAGCTGAGGGGGAGGCTGCAGGTGGACTCCCTGCAGGCTCCACACTGCTCAAAAAAGCACTGCGGACCTGCAAGGCGCTGGAAGGGAACAGGGCTCGGGCCCTGGGATTCTGGCGCCCTGTTCCGTCCCTGCAGGGGCATGCATGCCACCCAGGCAGCCAAGCAGGAAGCCTAAGATTATTCCTGGGGTGGAGAAAGTCTCCCTTTCTTCTAAGACAAGAGCATGGGGCTATGCAGGGAAGCAGAATGGCTTGGCCAAGTAAATTTTATTCCAAGTGCATTCATCTAATTCAATGGACCCGAAGGTACATGATGCCCTTTAATTTCATTGAATCAACTTTGAATATGACTAGCCTTAGATACAGCCCTGAATGCTGGAATCCAATTCAGGCCAAAAAATTGTAACTTTTAACACAACGCACACTTAACACTCTGGCTGGGCTGAGCTCCCCCAAGAGACAGTAATGACCGCCAACATATGTAAATGGATTTTAAAGGTTAGATCAATTCATAGGGGATAAGGCTATTGGTGGCTGGGTTCTGTCTTGTGATTCCATTTGGTCTTCATAGAATTGTAGAGTTGGAAGTAACCCTGAGGGTCATCTAGTCCAACCCCCTGCAATGCAGGAATCTCAACCAAAGTATCCATGACATATGGCCTGCTTAGACCTCTGCTTAAAAACCTCCAAGAAGTGTCCACTATCACCTGAGGTCTCCGTTCCACTGTCAACTGGCTCTTATCATCATTTATTTGTGTAGACTGCATTAAATTTTATCTAAGTAATACAATTTTTAAAAGAAAAAAGATTTTTATTCCTGATGCTTAGTAAGAATCTGCTTTCTGGTAACTTGAATCCATTGATCTTGAACACCACCACCTTTACTACAAAATAAAAACCTTATGCTGGAAATAATTATATGACCTTTCTCAGACTGCCCTATACTGGGAAGCTTTTAATGTCTGATGTTTTGTTTTGTCCCTTTATATTTTGTTGCAAACCGCCCAGATGCCTGAACTTTTATTGGTGGAAGCCACAGGGGATTGCAAAAGGCACAAGAAGATGCGCTCTAGGAAGCAGCTCCCATTCCCTCCAACATACAAATGCAACATAGTGGCTATGACTAAAAAGGCTCAGGGGGCGCCTTTAAGCGTGCATATTGCATGTGCATGTCTTGAACTTATGTTAGAAAGTGCTGTGATGCGCCCAGTCTCTGCAATTCAGCTGACAACAAATAATTTGGAAAGAGGCGGTCTGCTGCCCTAGCTGCAAGCATTTCTGTTTTGAACTGTTTCCCAGCCTCTCCAGGACCTTAAAGAGGGGGCGGGGCAGGAAGAAAGCGCCGAGTTGCTCCCTGCACAGATGGCCGCCACCGGCGAGGTTGTCATAAGAAGAGAATGGAGGAGGGATCCGCCAGCAGAGCAGGGGCCCCGATCCTGCAGGCCCCCCAGCTGCAGGCCAGTGGGAGGGCACAGCAGCCCGGGGCCCTCCCCAAGGCATCCTTCTGGCCTCGGCCAACCGGGCGCTGCTCCCCCTGCACTCTCTTTGGCGCTCCCCCCACATCCAGGCAGCTCAGGCTGCAGCCCCAACCTCATTAAGCAGCTCCCCGGATCCAATAATAATAAAACATTGCTTTAATGGGGTGCTTTCAGTCTGGCCTTAGTAATGCATTTCTCTGTCCGCAGCCTCAAAATACTTGCTTTTCTTGTAAATCCCCCCCTGCCTTTTTGGAACTTAGTCCCCCAATGCAGACTCTTAGCCAATCACATTCCAGGCGCCGCCTTTCCCCCGCCCCCTTCCCGCGACAAGGGGCGTGGCCTCCCGCCGGGGAAACCCGGCGCCCCCGTCCGTGTGACGGCTCGCGCATGCGCACTGCCCACACGCCACTTTTCTCTCAGGCCCGACCATAAAACTGTCGCGCTTTCGCGACGCGGAACATCATCCACCTCGGCGGCCTCGCCGCCTTCCCCGGGGTGGGGGCCGGAGGGGAAGAGAGAGGGGAAAGGCGGGGCTTGAACGGGCTCCGGACTCTTTGATTGGTTGCTAAGGAACGCTCGCTCTCTCCGCCCCCTCCATCCCTTACGCGCGTCTCTCCCCCCCCCCTCTATTATTATGCTTATCCTGATTGCCCGCCTGTTTTACCATCCCCTCTTCGAAACGGGCATCCTCCTCAGAATAAACGGTCCTGATTGGATTAAATTGAGGAGAGGCGGGCTTTAAGAGCGAGCAAAAGAATCCTGATTGGGTTAAATTGAAATGAGGCGGAGCTTAAGGGACACCTTGCCCCGCCCCGTGTTTCCTCCGCCTCGCCTGGTACCTGAGAGCAATCAAGGACCCCAAACCGGTTGTGTTCGACGCGCATGCGCCCTCTCTTCACGCGCGCCCGACCCTGGCAACCTCCGCGCCTGCGCACCGAGGACTATTCTTCTCCTCTTCCTCCCCCGCCCCTTCCGCCCCTCGCCGCCTCGCGCCACTTCGCAGCGCACGTTGGCCCGCCCGCTGATTGGCTGGCTCCGTCCGAGCGTCCGGTCGGCGGCGGCGGTTGAGGCCTAGGCATTCCGCGCAGGCGCAGGAGGCGGCTCGCGCTCGTTCAGTCGCTGGCTCTGAGGGGGGAAGAGGCCTTGTCTTCTGCCGCGCCGTTTGCCGCCTCCGTGAGGGGAGAAGGGGAAGGAGCCGCCGCCTCAGTCACCGCTTCAGCCCCCCCCCCGCCGCCGCCATCATGAGCGTGGAGGCGTACGGGCCCAGCTCCCAGACGCTGACTTTCCTGGACACGGAGGAGGCCGAGCTGCTGGGCGCCGACACGCAGGGCTCCGAGTTCGAGTTCACCGACTTCACGCTGCCCAGCCAGACCCAGACGCCGCCCGGAGGAGGAGGAGGAGGAAGCGGCGGGGCCTCCGCGCAGGGCAACCCCGGAGGAGTCTCGGCAGGAGGAGGAGGAGCCGGCGGGCCGCCCTCCGTCGCCCTCTCGCCGGGGCAGCTGGACGCCCAGGTGAGGCCTGCGAGGCGGGGGGGCGGGTTGCGACTACAGTACCTACTCGGAGAAGACCCGTTGCTTTATTAGGCCTTTATTATGTGGGAAGCCGCCCAGAGTGGCTGGGCCAACCCAGGCAGATGGCGGGGGTACAAATAATATTACTTAATAATAATAGTGATTACTAGCAGCAGTGGGCCTAAGTTAGTGGTGCCCGCTTCGGCATGACACGCCTAACTAACACGCCTGTTAGTCCTGTCAGTCCACGCCGATGTGTTGGGGCCAAGAAAGTCCTGCTCGGAGGAGGCCCGTCGAAAAGTAGCCCAAGTTAGTCGTGCCTGTGAGCTTCCATAGGCTGTGTCCGTTTAAGAGCAGACCTGCATCTTATTTAGTCAGGTGCATTAATTTGCTATGGGTTGTGCCCAAGGTGAGTTCTACACAGTGTAGGCCCGTTGGAAACGCCGGTTGCATTAGTCATAGGATTGTAGAGTTGGAAGGGACCTCGATGGTCATCTAGTCCAGCCCCCCAATCCAGGAATCTTAGCTAAAGTATCCAGGACAGATAGCCATCCAACCTGGGCTTAAAGACCTCAAGGAAGAATATCAGCGGCTTGTGTCTAAGTTTTACTCAGAGCAGACCTGTTGAAAATTACTTAGCTAAGTGAGTCATGTCCATTATTGTCAGTGGGTTGCATCCATTTAAGTTGAACACAAAGTAAGCTCATTGAGAAGGATGGACCTAAGTTCATCAGCTGCATTAATTTGAGTGGGTTGTATTTAAGTAAGGTAAGCTAAGAGTAGGCCCATTGAAAACAGTGGGCCTAAGTCATGTCTTTTAACGTCAGTAGGTTGTGTCCAATTAGGTCTACACAGAGTAGGCCCACTGAAAACAATGCACTTGTTAGTCATGTCCATTAATTTCAGTGGGTTGGGTCCAAGTAAGTTCTGCTCAGAGTAGGCCTTCTCTGAGTAGAACTTTAGACATTTGAAGTCCCTAGTAGCCTATTGATTTCAGTTGGTCTGTGCCAACCACCACCTATTTTTTAAAAATACTTTGATATAGTATTTTTAAAGGGGGTGGGTTGTATTCAACATTAGCCCTACTCAGAGTTAGACTCATTGAAGTTAATGGGCAAAACTAATAAGCTTAATACTAGATGTAACCCATTACTTTCAGTTGGTCTACTCTG